GTCTTTCATCAGTTCCGGAAAAGTTCTCAGTCATTATCTTGTCAAATATCGCCTCTGCCCAATTATCTCTTTCCTATTCTTCTGTAGCTATGATTAGACTTATTTTAGATTTCACAATGTCTTCTATGTCAAAGTCTCTTTTATATTTTTCTCTTATTTTTATTTTTCTGTTGCATTTGGGATAATCTCTTCATTTCTAACTCCTGGTTCACTAGATTGTACTTCTGCTATGTCAAACAGACTATAAACTTGCCCACTGAGTTTTACATTTTAATAATCTATGTTTTTCAATTCTTTAAGTTGCTTTTTCAAATATCTTCAGTCATTCTTTATAGTTTCTTGTTCTCTGTACATATTTTCAAGCTTGTCTTTTATTCCTTTATTCATATTTTAGATAATTACTTTATAGTCTGTGCCTGGTAATTTCTGTATCTGCAGTCCTTTTCACTCTCTTTCCGCAGTCTTATGTTTACATTATTTCTAATGTCTTATTTTCTTCTGTGCTTGTTATTTTTTAAAAAATGTGAGCTGCTAATTTTCCTCAGAATTTTTTATAATCCTTCTGTAAGGCTTAAAATGAAGATGAGTTCCTCCAGAGAGGGTTGGCATTTGCTTTTGCCAGGTATCTGAGAGCACTAACAGTCAAAAATAATTCTTAATTATCAGTTTAATCACACATCTGGAATCACATAGATGGTATGAATTCAAGTTATATTTTTGCGTGAAAGCTGGATTGTGACTCCAAGTTCTCAGATATAATTTCGTTTATTTCCCTGTTTACTAGGTGCCAAGGTTTAAGACAGTTTATTTTCTTTGTAAGGAGGGGTGTGTATGCTAGCTAGTAAGGGACAAATTTGTTTCTAGTACATATTTAAACTGAACAAATAATACTTAGAATCACTGTTTTCCGTGTATGTAGGGCAGGTCGTGAGTTTTGTCTCTTATAAGGCAATGAAAACCAAAGCTTATGTTAATTGGTTTGGCAAATGCCTTTGGGGTAAAGGCTGGCTTTTAGGCTCTGCTCAACTCTCTAGGTTTTTGCCTTCATTTCATTTTTGACCCAATAATTCTTTACTTTATTCCCAGTTCAGCTATATAATTAATATGATTTTAAAACTTTTTTCTCAGAAATTTTGTTTTCAGTGTGATCACTGAGTTGGGTATCTGGTCCACGATATGCCACAAACAGAAGTCTATATTCTTCTTTACATTTTTTTTATTATCCAAACTTTCCTTGAGGGATATTTCTTTAAAACAAGTAATACTAAATAGAAATACTTAAAATCAATAAGCAAATATTTTGCAAGCAAATATGTAATTTTATAGACTACATTTAATGTAAATATTAGTTATTTACTACATATTTTTTAGATGTCTATTATTTTATTTTACTATATAGAAGTTTAAATATTATGATTCTATAGTGCATTTAGCCTTTGAACCACTCACCTGTTGGCTCAAATTCACATTAGGTGATTTGCGAAACTATGATATATAACAATTTAAAAAAATCTCTGTGACTTAGAACAATAAATATTTATGTTCTACTCTTGTTAGTAGTTGCAGATCAGCTGCTGCAGAACTGCTCCAGGGTAAATGTGAGTTTTAGGTCTGCTCCACATATTTTCTTATTCAGAGATGCTATTTGGAGCATGCTTTTCTTGCGGCAGTCAGCAAAAGACTAAGATTGACCTGAATGTTGCACTCAGATTTAAAGCAGTTAGCATGGGTCACATATGCTCACAAACCATTGGCTAGAGACCAGTGACATGACCAAGAGTAATAATAATACACTCTACCACAGTTTTCAAAGTTATGTTAAATATTTTACTTATGTCTTACTTACTTATGTTAAATATCTTACTTATGTTCTCAATCTTCTTAGAGAAAAATCCTCATTAGCAAACTTTGGCAACATACGCGTCTAAATGGATAGGCTAAAGGAAAAAAACCCTCAAGCCAAATCTCTCTCATTTTAGGTCAGGGTTGAAATACATTCTGTGGGTAAGATTATCATGCCTATTAGTGCTTAAACTGATTTGGAAAAAAAATCCCTTCTCATTTTTAGAAATGAATAATTAATTAAACATTAGGCAAAAGACATGAATTTTCATTGGAGTTAAAAGTGGATAGTTATAATAAAGTTTTATTTTAAAATATTAGTTTTAAAATCATTTTAAGAGTAGCAAACTTCCAAGGTATCTCTCTCTCTTAACAAAGCAAATGAAAGTTATCAGATATTTTTCAGTTGTAGTGCAGAACCACATATTAGTTTCTATTTATGTTGTGATTACATTGAAAATGCTAGATTGGATGATCTGGAATCATAGAGTAGTAGATTTGAAAGGAATCTCAAAAACATATTTTTTAACTCAAGTGTATTGATTCATCATTTTGTTGCAATCAGTTGTGAGGTATGTCAAAATCATTAGCTATTCATGACAAGGTACTGTTACTAGCAAGTTAAAATACAGATTGCTTAGTGAAAGATATGCTTTGTTTTGTTTTCCTGTAATATCTACACTTTCACTTACCTGCATTCTGTTTTTTTTTTTTTTTAATTGAGCGTGGCTAAAAGCAGTTACAGCTATTTTGACAAGAATTTGGATAATCTTAGGTATACCATGATTATTTATTTTAAATGTGAATATTTTATTGAGTGTGGCTAAAAGCAGTTGCAGCTATTTTGACAAGAATTTGGATAATCTTAAGTATACCATGATTATTTATTTTAAATGTGACTGTATCTATTTGAGAAAAAGGTTGCGTATCATTCCTTAAAGAGCATGTAGCCAACTCCCTATTTTTATCAGAACTTGAAATGCAGAGAGTAATTTATCTAGTCACACATCTAATTAGCTAAGTCTATGTAACCTAGGCTCCTTGCTTCCAGTACTGTACTTCCTATTCCAATAAATGAATATTTATTTTCAATAGCTAGTATAAGAAAGTGGGGCTAAGAGGATTAGGCAAGGCAATTTGCCTCCTTTTTCTAATCTTAAGTCTCAGTTCCAAAGTAAAGGAAAAGCACCAGAGAAAAAGAGTCCATATGGTATATTTCACATGTTATCTATGCTGTAGGAACACTCTTTATCAAATGTACTTGATTGTAACGCACAATAAGAAATATAGTTTAAATTACAACATAGACACACTCACCTTGTCTCATAACTGAAAGTCTAATAAAACAATTATTACCCTTACTAGACATGCACTCTGATCTTTTATATTCAATTCCATTCTAGACTATTTCATGAAAAAATACAATTGATTTTTGAGTCAGTTTGGAAAAAAACTGCTTTAGAAAATAAGAGACAGTTTTCAATTTGTTGACAAACTCCAAAGTTACTAGCTTTGCCGAAATAATATCATTTACAGAATAAACTTCCCTCACATTTATTTGAACTACAAGTGTCATCTCTCAGAATTCAGAACAGAATCTGTAAAATCTTTTCCTCATCAGAACACCAGTTTATTACAATATCTTATAGATTCTAAGACTCATCGTTTTTCACAGTTTAACATGTCTGAATTCAAGATGTATCTTAAAAAGTCAGTGGCATGGCAGTTTAATTGGCAGTGTTTCTTTTCTTTCTCGGATGATATGACCTAATGGTGAGTCTTAAGACCCATCATTTCTTAGAGTTTCAATGACAAATATTAATAATAAGTGTAATATAATAATTATATAGGCCAAACTCTATTGCTTATTAATTTCAAAATATCAAGCTGATCAGAAAGCTTTTTGATGTCTTCTTAAAAAAATGTGGGGCGATGAGAAATGCTTAAGAAAAGAACTTTAGCCCTGGGCTGGAAGAAAAAATGAGTTACAAACTGAGATGAGCTATTACAGAAAGCTTTCTTACGTGTCTTTATTGTTAGCAGGGTTTGATTACAATCTTTTTGCTTTTCCACCTCCCTTATTTCTGTGTTCTTTTGGTGACTAGCATTTTACTCTTTTCTTCTAATCAACAGGGCTGGGGGAAAGCTCCTCCAACCATGGTTAAAAAGGAGGCAAAAAGTTGTCTCCAAAAGTTAAGGTACTTAAAAAATAAAGAATTAGGCTTTATTTTTAAAATGGAAGGAATTGGCAAATTTCTGCTGTTTAGACTGCCACCAACCTAACACATTGTAAAACTTAATGACTGTAAAACTGGCACGAAGCATCCTGAACATGACTGAACAAAAATAAGTTTGCTAGGCTATTTTGATCCCAGTGTGACTGAAATGCACCATCCTCTCCTTAAAACTAAAAACCTCTAATGAAGAAAACAGTAAATTAAATGCCACAATTAACGTGCTTCTAGAAATAGGAACAAGTAGTTACTGCTTTTCAAGTCAGGCAACACGATGCCTTTTTTCCTTTGTTTGGCTAAAACCTTAGTCAAGCCCAAACCTGGGGAGGCAGATCTCACGCTCTGGCTTCAGACTGGGCGTGGGGTCCTGAGCCCTGAGCAGGGAGCAGTAAGTATTGTGCAGTTTCCTAAGATTGGGCAGAGCCCAGTACCACGGGTCCAAAGGCCTCGCCTGGGCAGCTCATAAGCGTGAGCCAGGCGGCGGTGGGCTTGCATCCTGAAACTGCCCTCGAGTGTGCGGAGGCGGTGCGGCAACGATAAGACTGGCAGAAGAAGGCGTTGCCAGTTGCTCCTGCAGGGTTGGCACCCGCCGGGCAGGGGAGGCCTCGCCGCTGCCACCTCCGCTCGCGGTCACGTGACGGGGAGAGGGTGTGGCCCGAGCGCGCGAGCCGGGGGGCGGGGCTGGAGGGGGAGGGCGCACGAATGTGAAGGATCTTGGCGGCTCTAGGTACCCAGAGAGGCGGCGACGCGGCGAATGACAACATTAGGCCGCGACGCGCTCCGGGACGGGCGGTAGTGGTAGCGGCAGTCCCGGCGGTTGCAGCGTTGGCTTTCGCCGCGGTGTTGGCCGCCACCGGTGCCCCGCAGACGGAGCGAAGGCGGGGACCCGCCCCGGCTATAGAGTTATAAGAATAGTAACGAGGCCGGCGTTCCCGCCCCTCTCGTGGGCAGAGCCGACAGCGCCTCCGCGGCGGCGAGACAGCGCCCTTGGTCTGGGCTCGTTCCCCAGCTGTCGCTGGCGACAGCGGCCGAGAGAAGTTAGGGTCGGACCGGACGCGTGCAGAGCTCCAGAGGAACCGGCCCCCTGCGCCCCGCCTCTCCGGGGGCTCCGCACCGGTGAGTGTCGCGCGGGTTGGGGGGGCGATGGGTTCGCACTCCTGCGGGCGTCTGCACCTCCAAATCTCTACGTTCTGAGCTTGGGCCGCTGGGGACTTTCTCTTTGTCCCCTTTTGGAGTGAGGGATTCCAGAGGCTGGCAGGGGCGGAGTGTTTTAGGGCCCACAGTAGGTACGTCTGTCCCCTTACAAAGCCACGGCAGGGGCGGGGGGAGGCACAGCATTTTGGCGGCCCCGAATGTCTGCCTCCTCCCGAAGTTTGGGCGGACGGCGGGGTCTCGCCGGAAGCTCCGGCGCCCGGGAGAGCTGGCGCTGTCACTTGGTGCGGTTAAGACGAGGCTCCCGTTTTCCTGTGACAGCACCGGAGGAGATTGTGCAGCGCACCGCAGACCACACCCGCCCTTGCAGAGCCGAATGACACGGTGCTGTTCCTTCCTCTAAACCTCAGTTCCTGTGGCATTATAGCGTAGGAGGAAAGCTAAGCCTTTGGTGTACTTTTAAATTTAGTGTTTCTTTCAAAGCCCTTTCTCAATAGTGGAATCAGGTTCCAAGGAGCTTCACATGGAACGTGCTTTTGGTTCATTGAGCCACCCACTCAGGATCCACGAAGCAACTGTATATGCAGATTTTCCATTCACAAAAGTCATTTAACACTCTTCTTTATGAAAGACATCTGCTCTGGAGAACATGCTCAATTTCATTTTATCTAAATGCTGTTTGAAATAATAGGTTAACTTGGGCTCCTACTTAAACAGATGGGAAAACTTATCTAATTGATGATATAAGCACATATGCTTTAAATACATAATTTAATGAAGTTTCTGCCTTTCTAGTGGGAGACTTTAAATGACACCTGAGTAATATTAGAATGCCCTGTGTATGGTAGGGTTATTAGTTTTTATTAACTTTCCCTGAAACTTAGCCTCAAATTAGTTCCTCTTTTGGTCTTTTAAATAATCACTTAAAACCGTTTTTGACTCCTTAGAATTACAAGAAGAGCAAGGATTGTGCAAGAACATGGGTGAATTTCTTGTTAGGATTTTTCCTTCCCATCAGAGGTCATATACACTGATCATGCTGAGAGACTGTGGTCATTTTCTATGCTTGCTGGAACTCATTTTGCAATAAAATTGTTAAGACCATGCTAGTGCTGTAAAACAGGTTGGAGAAAGAAAAGTAAGGGTGTGAAATTTGTCCTCTATTGAAAGTACAACTAATTTCAAATATTTGTTACCTCTTTTTTGATAGCAACTATATATGGAATGACTACAATATGCCTGTTTTCAAAGTACTAGGAAAGGGAATAGATGCAACATAAGAACTACCTTTTAGGTCTTTAATTATGGAGATTAAGTCCTTCTGGTCAAATTCCATGTGAACTGTTTGAGCCGCAGTACATTGTACACAGGTGCTTAGAAATGCCTGTTTAATTAAAAAGGGTCATGATTTATTTCTTCTTCATTGTATTGTAATATTTATCGTATCTGTAATCTGAAAAGATGCTGCTATATTTCTTTCAGTTAGAATGTTATTACATTTTGAAGGCAATCAAATGTTTCTTATAACATTTATAAATTCGACAATGTCTAGTTTCTTTGTTCATTTTGAATTTAAAAACCTTAAAATATACTTTGGAGAAAAATATACACTTCTGTGTAATGCAGTTATGTTTTAGTTTGTTTTGATTTAAGAAAAAAGATAAAATTATGAATTTACAAAATATGCATTACAAAAGGCTTTTTTTTAAAGGGCAGATTGCAGAATTTTTTTTAACTAGTGAGTGGTCTTAGTACATTTTAAACTTGGTTTGGTTTATAAATAATCCTTCAAGAGCAGGTTACTTGTATTAAAGCATGAATGACAAAGTAAAGAACTGTTACTTAGATGTAGTTTTATAGTATTATTTTGGAAAATTCTTATCCTGATAGCAATACAAGAAGTATTATATTTTAATATTTATATTATCATATCCAAAGCTGAACACATTTATAGCAATGATCTTGGAGCATTGGGGATTCAAAAGTAGAAGACATAGGCCCTAGCTTATTCTAATGAATGAGACCTACAGATAATGCAAGTTAAATTAAAAAGCCTCTGAGTACTTCATTAATGAAGGTTGCTGAGTGCAAGGAGATAGATGGAGGTGCTTGATTAAAGTATTTACAGCTGAGTGTAGTTTCCTTGTGGATGGGACACAGGAAGAGATGTCTGGACTAATGTGTGAAGGTTTAATGTCAGTGTGTAGGAAACCCCTGAGAGATTTTTTATCTGTCCTTCCTCCTACTTTGATCCCCACCTCCTCATGTATCTTCAGAAGGGCATGAAGTTGAAGTTCTCATCTGGAAGACATGAGAGAAGGGCTTTTTCCTCCTGAAAAATGTTATCAAGTTTGCAGGCTTTCTTCAGACATCTTGTAGGAAAGGAGTCCTTGTCCTGAAATATCATACTTTTATATAGTGTATATTATTTTTACCTTTGTTAAAGTTGCAAACAATATAATCTCTCCATGATAGCGAGAACCTTACCTATTTTGCTCACCATTGACCCTTCAGATGCTTGATAATTAGTGAATGAAAAAAATGCAGTTCCTGATATGTGACTGGAGAACAAAGAGGAGTGTGTGATAACATAGTCCAAATTAGATACAAGCAGTAAAGTGATAAAGGAAGGATGGTGGCTTGAGAGGCAGGGAGCAGGTCATTTACACTGAAGAACTTTCTTGGAGGTGATTCTTGAGTTAGGTCTTGCTGAAAGCTGTATATCTGAAGAGAAGCAGATTTTCTAAGGAGGTAGACAGCATGAACCAAAGCATTTAAATCAAACTAGGTAATCAGCTTAAGCCCAGTGAGTCTTTTTTGGTAATATGAATATATTTTTTTTCTCATAACTTGCCTCTCCCAGAGAAAACTGGCACACCTTATATAAGCTAAGATTTAGAATTACTTGAGTTTTGGAAGTGACAATGGTACAGCAAAAGCAAGAGCACTGAACTGGGGTTAAGAAAATTTGAATTAGATTTTTGATTGCATCTTATACAAGTAAGTGTCCTTGGGCAAATCACTGGGCCTTAGTTTTCTCATTTGTAAAAGGAAGATAATCTTTATCCCATATGGTTGTTGAGAGAATGAAGTTACATAATGTATATGAAATTGCCTACCCTACTATATCACACATAGAAGAAATGAACAAACATTAAATTATTTAAAACATTTTTTTGTCTTTAGACCTCTAAAAAATATTTTGGTATATCACGAACTTTAATATCTATTTGACCTTTGAGTTGATCCATGGTGTTATATTTAAATTTATCAGTATCAAAGTTTTTGATGCTTAGTTTTCTTTCAATCAAACATAGAATTTTTTTTTTTTTGATAGAAATGGGGCTTGTGTTACTTTCTAACGTTACCTCAAAGAATGGTGGATGCCCCAGATTTTTAAAGCTTTAAGTGAATATCTGTGGCTGCAAATCAGCCTTTAGGCATTTCTTTTGTACAGAATTTGTGTTTGAAGAAATTGCCCTTACTTACCATGCTATCTATTCATTGTTGTGAAGAAATGAAATTTTCCTGGTAAGGAAAAAAGTGACCAAAAATATTCTCTGCTTATAGTGATCTAAGTGATTCTAAACCATGAAGGATCTCTCTACCTGCTGTGCTTTATTTTAGAATTCAATGTTTTTTGAGCAGGCTAATAGACTTCTGTATCATTTCTTGTCTAAGCTTTTTGTTCCAGTAGCTGCTTGTTCTTTTATGAATCTCAAAATTTCATTATATTTTGTGAAGTCTTTGTAGTGTTTATAATCCATGGAGCAGTCTGTCCTTTGTATAATATTTGGAAGGGAATTTTATTATAAAAAGACTAAAAAGAGTGTTGAGTCTTCAAATGATAAAGAAGCCAGTTACCTACTATATTTTCATATTCACAAAAGACAAAAAAAAAATGGTTTTAGAGTTTGAAGACTCTTTTCAGAAAAAGAGGAGACACTTTTTGATTTAAGATTGTTAAACATAGATTCAGACAGAGATTGTTAAAGTTCCCAAAGGTGTCTTAGGAGTGGTTGGTCATACTAGTAATAATAGCTAATATGTTTGAGTCCTAACTATGTGCTACTTTAAGAGCACTTGACATATGTTATATTTATTCCTCACTATGAATCTCAACCGCCCCCCCCACCCCCTTCCCAAATAAAGCTAGTTTCTTCTCCTTTTTTTAAACCTCAGGAACCTAGAGATTAAGTAGTAGGTAGTGGAGCCAGGATTTAAACTAAACCGAGTCACAGGGAGGCTAAGTAGTAGGTGGTGGAGCCTACCGAAAGAATTGAATTTGAAGTTTAACTTGACCTTTGACTTCAGAGTCTTTCTTTTTAATCACCTCATTATACGGCCTTTTATAGTTTATTTGCAGTTGCCCCTTACGACAGATCTTGGCCTTCATAATCTTTGTGAATCTGTTCCGATTGTGTGATTTGATGAAAAGTACACTTTGTAATAAGATGGCATATAGCCTCAATTTTTTTTCATTTCAAATGTATTTGACTGACATCCTATTTTTTAAATCTAAAAAGATTCTTGCAGTAAGGCGAATAATTATTTTATTATTCATCCAGTTGAAATTTTCTCACTAGGAAACTCCAGAATCTACTGGAAATACAAGAACATGGTAGATATAGTATTTTACAGTGAATTGTTATAATTTTTAAAATTCATACTAAAAAACCCTTTTTTTAAAGGATAAGATTGATGCACAGAATTGGTGTGGATGGTTTTTATGTAGTGTATTTGAGGGACACAAATCTATATAATTGAGATCTAGCCTTTTTTTTCATGACCAATCTATTTAAGTTTATTTAAGCCATATTCTGCTGAAATTTCCACCATTAACATAACTTGTTTGGGGGCTGCCAGATGCCACAGGAGTAGTTTATCAGATTACATAGTTTCTTATAAAGAAGGCTCAGGCCCTGCGGAAATTATGAAATCTGTTTAGGTATGTTCTAATGGGT